TAGGCCATATTTATAGCCAGGCTATATTGCGGCCCCTGGCAAGAGCCAGAACAGGGCTTCAAACAACGAAAAATTGCATCCTGAAAGGGACGGAAAGTTATTGTATTAATAGAATGAAAGAAAATGTTTAAAAAAAAAAACGTTGACAAGACCAGTCGTTTTATATGGCTATGAAACTTGGATGAATCGTTGGACCGAATCAAAGATACAAAATTTCATAATCTGTTTTAGATCGCCATTGATCACTGGCATCATGAGAGCTTATAGGCTGAAAGGGCTGGGACTTATTGAAAGAATGTTTGATGACAGTTTGAGGTTTGAACAACGGATCAACACCATGGTACAAGGGCAGTAACCCATAAGTACTCCGTTCTACTTCTAACTCAAGTCTGACCCTGAAGTGGCTCCTCGCTGTGCACGAACTCCTTAGAAACGGCGAGGATCCTGAAATATTTTAAGTATATTTTCAACTCAAAATTTTGCCCGGGCAGCGCCGTTAGGCTACTCTTTTCAATTGCCAACTGTAAAGGGATTTTTTTCACGTGCGCAACAATACACACGGGCGTCCGATCTTGCTACACAGAGACCAGGGAAAATTACTAGAAGTCTGGTTTAAAAAAACTCACCCTTTACCGGGGCCTGAACCCGGCAAAGGCTAGCACTCGAGACCACGCAGCTCCCTAGTGTGTCAGACGACAGAGGGGTTTTAAACTATACACACACGGGAGCTGAATCGTCGAAGACCAGGAATCAGACCAAGAAGACGATGAAGAGATAATGTCCAGACAGACCTGCAAACACTTGGTGTCACCAAATGGAAAGAGAAGGCCAGCCAGGGAGATAAATGGAGGCAGGTGATATTTGGAGTATTAGTCGCCTCTTACGGCAATTACAGTCGTCACCATGTGGGATGCAATTTTTCGTTATTCGAAGCCCGGCGTGGATTGGGGCTAAACTAGATGGCTAGGACTCACGAGCAAAAAAAAAAAAAAAAAAATGAAGGCAGCTGCGGGAAATGCGGTAGCTGCTGCTCCAGCCATCTAGTTTAGCCGAATCCCCGCCGCATGAGCGTGTGGGATACCCTCGGCGGTGGCGGAAGTCGCAGGAAGTGCGCAATAGACAAGTGGCTGAGGCCCTATTAGGGTAAATTTTCTGCCTCGATAATTTGGGGCCGTTATTCGGAAGATAGCCCGAAGCCCCACCCTGGCTTTTGCTGGGGGGCCCTGAATATAGCCGGGCAATGACGGCTGAAAGAGGTTTCTGGGACCTCCGCATGGTGGCACTTTGTGTCACCGGGTGTTTATCGCTTGTGTTATGTCCTGGTAGTGTACAACTAGTCCTAGTCCTAGTCCTTTTGATAGAGCAAAAAAAATGAAAAAGTTGACTCCTGCTAGCTAGCCGAGGCTGCTAACAGTCTCCGCCTATATTTGTGGTCTGGATTATTTGCGTTACTTTCGTGGCTGAATTCTAGTGTTTGTCCCATTTCTGGGCTTGATGTTTCCATCCAAATCAGACCGCTTGTCCTCCACCCTGTTGTTACTTGTGCATGTCTTCCCTCGTCTTACTTGGTATTTCCAGTTTTGTGTTGTTTCCCTTTGATTTAGCGAGGCGTATTTCCTAGGGGCGCGCTTTTCCACACAACGTCCTTTGGACCACCATTTACAGTTTTAAAATTGTGAGTATTTTATTTTGAAAAAAAAAGTACTTAAAAAACAGTTTTTGATTTTGGATAGTTCCGAAATGTAAAAATATTTCGCGTGTGACCACAGTGGTCTTATAGTTGTCTTCCTGAAATAAGAACGGGTTAGTCATGTCGGGTAGATATGTGTGTAAAATGTTGTGTGGGGCCTTAAAGTGGATCTAATAGTCATTTGTTAGTGTGTGATCCGGTTGTGTCTGTCTGGGTTGGCAGCTAGGCTTCGGTGTGCGTAAATAAAATACACCCGGTGCATTCAGCTCACGCTTTGGGATCCGAATGTTCAGCGATGAGAATTGCTGTGGCATGTTGGGTAACGAACTCAAGTGCTCTTTGTGTGAATAGGGTGGGGGTTGAACTCATGAACTCGTAGTTCATCCGAAAGAGGGAGGGGTGAGGGGAAAGGGGCGGGAGGCCATTCAGTCGTTTCTCGTCGTCGCCGTCTTGCTGGATTCTAGCGTGGCCTTTAGCTGGGATTATGTGTATCACGTTACCAGCCTTTGTTATCATCCCAATAATGGGTTGGTGTCGGTGGTTATGTGTTCTAGTCCTGTCAGAGTCGATTCACGTGTTATCCCTATTTGATGCCAGTCATATATTGTCGTGAGCTACACCTGTCATGTTTATGTTGTATACATGATGTAGAATGGGATGGTTTTGGGTATGAACCCCCGGAGTACAAGGGCGCACACAACTAAGTGTATGCGTACATGCACTCGAGCATGCATACACGCAAACAACACTACATGTGTGCACTTCCTTTTATCCTTATCCGTGTATGCGTACCTATTTGACATTTCGTACACATGCATACTCTTTCATATGTGTCAACCAATGCCTACATAAATGTACTTACATTCATGACAAACATGTATTTCGTCACGTGAGGACACTCACACTTCCATGTTATTGTGTGCCGCTATGTCTGTAATATCGTTTGGTCATGTCACTTTTTAAGTCCCTAGTAGGTGATTAATTATAATATTGACATCTTAAAAGATCTGAACATCAAGGAAGATTGGCTAATAAACAGCATTCTTGCTCGAAAGCTGAAATATTTTGGTCATATCAAGCGCCACGACGGATTGGAAAAAATTATAGCAGAAGGCATGGTACCAGGAAGGAGGGGCAGAGGCCGACCGACACGAAGATGGGCACAGGATATAAGTGACTCCTTGAGTGTGAAAGTTCATGAGGCGGGGGAACTGGCAAGAGACCGAGTTTCTTACAGGTAGACTGTGATGAGAGCGACGTTCTGCAAAGGACCTGCTACATGATGATGAGTAGGCGATCTGTTCGTTACGTTCTCATCATGTTCTGGTGGATGTTGTGTGTTGGTGAGGTTCTTGCTGGTGTACATACTTCATTCAATTTATTCTCATTAATTAACTGCCATACAACAACATCATAATTTATGGGGTTCTGGAGTGCACTGTCATTCGCACACACAAATATATAAATGTACAGGCTCCTATATATATATATATATATATATATATATATATATATATATATATATATATATATATATATATATATATATATACACACACACTCATAAACATGCATACAAAATTACATTTCTATATCCATGTAGTCGTTCATCTGTATCTTTCGTACAGTTATATTCCCACTTTCCTGTCCATATGTAACCTCTCATCATTCGCCTGCACATGCACTTGTCTTTGTGTATCCACCCATGCTCATATTTATGTACCCATCATACTTACATTACCTCCCTTACTCCAGGGTGTCCGGAGCCACCATCTGATCTGTTCTTTCTGCGGTTCTAAGTTGATCTTCAACCTGGTTTTTAAAGTTTTGGTTTCTATTAATTTGGTACTGTTTAACAAGTTTTTGGATGTTTTTATTGCTATCCACCTTTAGACATTTGTTTGCAGTTATCTGTTGTTTTGCGTTTTATAAAATACTCCTCAATGGGTTTCCTCTCCAATTTGTATTTAGTGCAGTTGATCATATAATGTTCTATTGTATTATCCTAAAGGCAGTCCAGACATAGAGGAGAGGTAAATTTCTCTGGATGCCACCCTAACCTAGCTCTCCATAGTAGTTTGTTAGCTATGATTTTCAGTTTGTCCCGTACCTGTGTGTTAAGGCTGGTTTCTTTAAGGTTGTTGTATGCATCTTTGCCATTAGTGCTTATCTGCCACTGGAGTTTCCACATTTTAATGATATGTTTTTTAATTATGCTATTCCTTTCAGTTTTTCCTAGTCCTACTTCAACTAAAGCATCACATTTAGTTCCCTTTTTGGCTGCTTGGTTAGCTTTTTCATTGAATATTGCTCCTCAGTGTGCTGGTACCCATGCAATGGTGACTTGGCATCCTTTATTCTTTAGTTGGGTTGTTAGGTTTAAGATCGTTTCTTTAATATCTGGTCTACTGCTAGTTTTATGCGTTTTTAACGTCTGCACTGAGTACAACGAATCTGTCAGTATGGTAAATTTAGTTGGAGGTTTATTTATTACAATCTCTAGTGCCTTCATTATTCCGACTAGTTCTGTTGTGCATACTGCCACATGGTCTGTTATTTTATATTCTCTTTGCATATTCCACTGAGGGATTATTACTCCTGATCCTACTTCTCCTGCTTCATTCTTGGACCCATCAGTGTATGCAATCAGGTTGACTGATCGGATCTGGTCTATGTATTCTTCTGTTATTGTTTTGGCCTCAAATGGTTCAGTATTCTTATTAATATTTTTCTTCAGACTCATGTCTGTCCTAGGCAGTTCTAGTCTTCATGGAACAAACCTAACGCTTGCCTCTTGAGTCCTTGCTAAGCTCTCATTATCGTTGATTTCTAGTGCAGCGTCCCAGGCTGCTGGTCTCAGTATATCTCTGATCGGTCGGTCACCTAGGTGGGTAATGTTATGATGAAAAGCGTCCGAAGCTGGGTGTCTGGCATCGTTGGCCGCTTGGTGTCAAACTTACCTATCTACCTTTATCTGCAGCAATGAATCACAAGGGCTCGGAATGCCGAGGAAGTATATTGCGTCAGAAGTTATGACGTATTGTAATGATTTTATGCTAATATCTCTTTAAAAAAATTTTGCAACAAAAGAAATACTCCACCTACTTATAACTTGATGTAGTTTCTAATGTTTTTAATTTATTTCAGCTGATAATTTTTAATTTGTATTATTAATTTTATTCAATAATGATAACTTCATCCAGACCAGCTAAAATGCTTTAATGTCAACATGGCGGCAAACAGAAGCGAAGTTGTGTGGTCTGGCAGTAACAACATTGAAATTATAAAATGGAAAGTAAGAAAAGGCAGCATGGTATCGAAAGGATCAGTCCTTGCATTATATGTTGAAGAATGCGACAGGTTGCAGAAAAGAAAACTGAAATCAAAAGACAGTGGACTGGTGACTCAGGTCATCGTAGAGGAAGGCGCAATAGTTCACCCAGGGTAAGTTATTTAATTAGGGATTTCAGTAAAAATTTATATTTTGGGTTTTTTACTTTCACACAAAGACATCTAAATAGAGGGGAAAAAAACAGAGTCCAACGGTACCTCAATGAAGTATGTATGTCTGTTCTAAGCGGAGATATTCACATTTCAGTGACAGAAAGTGCTCCCGAAAAATTATAATGATGTAAAATGGAAATAACCGAAACAAGATGGCGACATGTTCCCAAGTCAAAACTCATAAAACAGGACCTAAAGTGGCAAAATGTGTATGCCTAATGTCAATAACTCTTTCGTTTTTTGCTGAACTCCTTAGCAACCATGTCATTACTTTCAGGGCAGCAAGCTGTAACACTAACACTAACTATCAACTTTAGTCAAATTTTTAAAATCATTTCTTTCCCAGTACAGCTGCATACATATTGAAAAGCTCGGCTCTCCTCCCAACTTCTACTCAGGCATTATGCAGGCTGAACAAATATCGGCTCTACTTTGAACATCCCCATAAAATGGCGGCCGTAATATAATGCCGTTCAAAAGAGAGCTAAATTGGCCAATTTCTGGCCATAAAATATCCGAATGGGGTCAGTTCTATTAAAAATATATGTGCCGGCTCCGCATAATGAAACAAATGCTCTAACAGGGTCTCGGCGATACGTTACTTGCGGACCTGCGCGGATGGGGACTAAACTAGATGGCTGGGACTCACGAGCGGCAGCGACCGCATCTCCTGCAACTTCCTCCAGTTACTTTACTCGTGAGTTCCAGGCAACTAGTTTAGTCCCCAATCCCGCGTTTTGCGCATGCTGAAAAGTGTGAGGACAAAAAGGAAGAGAAACACTTACCCATTATTACCGTCATTATATGTGAAAGTTCTGGCACAGAAGTTGCAAATAGTGGCCGAAAATCTGCTCTCTGTGGCTGTGCAGCCATTGGAATTCACATAAATATGGGAACAAGGGCCAGCTAGTGCCCAGTTGGTAGCGTAGTTTCCGTTTTAGCAGCATCCATAGGCCTTCTATGGTTTGCGTGTGAATGTCAGTGTCTACGCTGTCAACGAAATTAGTCTGGTGTACGACAACTGCATGCTCATAAATCCCATGTCTTAAACTGCCAACGTTGCTGTACCCTTGCCAAGCGTCAGTGACGATTCTCGTTCCGGGCAGGACATGCTCAGTTATGATCCGCTCCAATGTCCTGGCATCTCGTCTTGGCACAACCTCAAACCAGCAACGACCACTGTGAAGCTCTACTAGGCCCACAACCCATCGACCACGGCGAATACGACCATGCTGGTATTTGCGGAGAAAGAAACGGCTCTCGTCCACTTCAACGACCAGAGATGTACCGTTGGCATCAAATTCTCCCAACTTAACTTTTTGTGTTAACATCCAATTGTAGCATTCCTGTCAGAAATAGTAGTTGTAGTTTACAATTGTGTCCCAGCCCAACAGTCTCTCAAAGAACATCACATTCGTCAGTGTGACATCGAAAAGCCAGTAAAACATCATCATGACTATTTTCTCAGTTGACATGTTGCATCTGGCAAAGAACGAGCGCACGCTACGCTCAATACGACACCGACAACAGCGCCACGAGTATCTGTCAGATTCCACCTGCACCGCTGCCAATGACATATCACCCTGGCAGGAAGAACATACCTGCGAGTTGGTAGCGAGCCATTGCAACCATACCAGTTTATCGCTCATTAGTCCATACAGGTCGGCAGGTCTGACATCTACCGCTGGTAAATCCTCAATGGCAACAACAGTATTGCTAATATACGTGCGAGCTGTGTGCGGTCTACCCGCCATATCGCTGTCATCGTCTGTAATGTCTCGAAATTGTCAACGGTAGCTTTTATTGTCTGCTTGTATCGTCTGCAGAAACGCTCAAAATTATCGTCTGCTCCTATCGTCTGCAGAAACGGTCGGTATTTATCGTCTGCTACTACCGTGTGCAATGTTGATATTGATTGTCAAGTAATCCTAGTTTTGCCGCGATTTGTTCCTTGGCAGAAAGTCTGTATTTTAGATATACGTGAACACCGTTCGGATATTTTTGGATATTTTATGGCCAGAATGTGCCATCATATTAAGGCCGCCATTTTATGGGGAAGTTCAAAGTAGAGCCCAAATATCCTTACGGGGCTCAGTCCTATAAAAAATATGCAAACTTGCGGCGACGAACGAATCGTGGCAAAACTAGGATTACCTGACAATTTCAAGAGACGCAACACTGCAGACGATAGTAGCAGACGATAATAGCGACCATTGACACTTTCGAGCGTTTCTGCAGATGATACTAGCAGACGATACTAGCGACCATTACAATTTCGAGACACGCAACATTACTGGCGATAACAACCACATGGTGGGGAGACCACGTGCGCCGACGCAGATTAGCATCGTTGTTGTCCTGAAACTTTTCGGCTCGTGAGTCCCAGGCACCTGGCTTAGCTCCCATCTGCACAGCGCGTAGCGGTGCGGGGATACGGTCGGCGACATTAACTATATTAGACACGTGCGATTTCTATTGTCTTTTTTTTTTCCAAAAACCTTTTCATGAGGGAGAGAGTAGTAGTTGGATTTAGTGGTGGGGGGGGGGGGGAATCAAAGGCTATCTCAATATCTGAGCAGACAATGATTGCGACTAGACACGTGCGATTTCTATTTTCTTTCTTTTCCATTTAGCCAAACTATGCCACAGCAACCCGTAGCCGGGTACAGCTAGTATATATATATATATATATATATATATATATATATATATATATATATATATATATATATATATATATATATATATATATATATATATATATATATATATATATATATATATATATATATATATACATATACATATATATATACATATATATATATATATATATACACATACAATTATTTTTTACACATGAATAGACACGCTAGATGCAGATTAGGTAAACTGAATGTCTGATTTGGCATTTTGGTAACATCTGGTGGCAACAATTGAGATAACATAAAAATGACCACTAGTGACAATTTTGCAGAATTTATGCCTTTCGCATATATATATATATATATATATATATATATATATATATATATATATATATATATATATATATATATATATATATATATATATATATATATATATATATATATATATATATATATATATATATATATATATATATACACCAAATAAAAAATTCAGTAGGCATTTAAAAAAACAATTTAATTAATTGTGCAACAATACATCAGAAAAATCATCAGCCACAATATTTGTATGTGCATGGAGGTTAATAAGGTAAGTAATTGTTATAAAGAAACAATTTCATATATTTCATACAAACAAACCATAATAATTTGATTAAGAAATTATAACTACTTATCTTTTTTCACCGTCCATGTCTGGAAGTTTACTTCTACCCTGAGAAGCCTGTATCATCACTGACACTGTTCTGAAATAACACTAGACCATGTGCTTTATTAAATTATTAAACAATGCACACACAATGCTGTGCCAAATAAAAGAGTGTGTTACATGACATTTTTATTACTCTAACAATCAAATGCTAAATTTATTTCTATTGCTTTGTTTTATATATCACATTCAGTTAAAAAAAATGTCAAATCTTCAGTGGCGAAGTCTGCAAGAAACGTGTTTCATCGTCAAGGTGAAGGAGGTATCTGCTGCTTGTTCCTCATGGTCCTTCCAAGAATAAAGTTTGATTTCTGTGTTGAGGAATTTTCTTTCTGTCCACATTTCTTTTCATCTTTATGTACACACAGTCCTTTTCTCCATCATTCCAGATGTGCCACAGTAACACACCTGACAGAGCATTAGTGTCACTAAAAAGATTCCTTAACATATCTTTAGACTCCTCAGCTACCTTTTTAAACAAATCCAACTCAAGTATTGAAAACATGGACCCTGATTTTTTAAATTCTGCTGTCAGACGTTTTTCATACTTATCTCCAAGTCCCTTGTCCAACTTCTGGAAATTTTCCTGCTGACATTTCTTCTGTACCTCAGTTCCATGATGAACTGCAAACTTTATCAGGTACTTTTGGAAGTCGTCATTAAATGTCTGCAGCCAGTGCAATGTTTTTTTTGCACAGCCTTCACCTTTGCGTCAATGAACCCGATGGTGGCATTGGGAGCTCTTTGCATCACTGAATCCACCCTTGCAAGATTTCTTTCAGCCCCCATGTTATGTAGTTCTGCAGATGCTGTCTTTGAAATCAATTCAGGAGACGGATTAGATAAGGGCCCATCTAAATAGGGTTTTAACTGCCGGTTAATTGTTTGAATGAAAGCCTCCGCTAAATTTTTGGATACTAAGTTAAAATTTTCACACAGTAACTGAGGTTGATTCAACTCTGACTTACACAAATCTCTACAAAAAAGCATCACCTTCCGTTTCTATAAGGTATTCTGGTTTCGCTTCTACTATCTTCAAGCCTTCCAGGCAACCCTTCACCAGACTTACTGCATCTGAATGTCCCATTCCACTGTTGTCTCTATAGAACAGCTGCATCCATGACCCTGTCACAAAACGTGAATATAATCCCAGCACCTGCAAGTGAAGCAGGAACCTTTCGTCTGTCAAGTTTTCATGTATTTTAACACAAAGTACTTTTGGCCGTTTGTGCTCAACAAACTGTGTCAGTAAATCTCTATGCAGATAAATGACCGCTGCCAAATGGAACATGAAATTCAAACGATTCCCGGCATAGCGCTTAAAGATGCTGGGATTGATATTCTTGTTCTGCAGAAAGGCAACAAATGCACCTGGATCACCTGACCCATCCTTGTGACACAGTTTGGAGATCTGGTGAATCAGCGTTGCAGCACGACATCCCAAGGCTGTTCTCTGATTGTCTTGATCTGTAATGTGATCCCTTTTAAGCCTGTGCAATACATCACAGGCAGATCTGGCAAGGCCATCCAATGGGTGTACCATTCACTTCAGGTCGGCCAAATCTCCTATGTCCCCCTGAAGT